GGTGGGGGTTGCATGTAGTGCCGATGTACCTCCAAATTTCCCATGGCTGCAAATTAGTTAAACTCAAAGTGGATTAAAATACTGAAAATGACCATTAAGTGTTCATTGGAATAGGGATTTAGGTTTTGCATTCTCCGTTTTTTTCTTTAATAAACCTGATTCAATTTCACTTTCACAAAATTAAACATGTCTTTGTTTGGACAAAATTTCAGATGTGATGAATTTTTGCTTTCTATTCCCACTATAGTATCGGTAGATAATTTTCATTAGCTGTGAAATTAACTCTGCTTTTCATGAATAGTACATTATTGATACTGCATCTCTGTCCAGTTTTATTGTTCTTGGCATTGGTTTTATAAATGATAGTCTACCAATAATACTGTTTGTTGTGTAGGCCTTTAGAATCTTTGTTTATAATGCATTACATATTAGCCCTATACAGTATGGCAAAAGTTTTCAAAGTGAAACTTAGGAATTAATTATTTTTGTTTATTTTAAATCATGGTTTCATGGTTCAAATTTCTCTATAAATCTACTGTAATTTTCTTTTGCAAAAACCCAAAAGGACCAATATTATAATTGCATTTTAAGTGTCACCTTAAAATCTGTAGCAATGAGGAAATTTTGTCTATTTATGGACGTACATAAATAAAAAAAAATACTACAGAAATTTATCATTAGGCCTAGACCCATAAATAAATAGATCTAAACATTGCCTAACGTCCAAGACAATGACTTTTTTCCGTTAAGACCTTTGGCTACATTGACCACTCATACGTGTCAGATTGCTGATAAATTATAAAACTCAAGAAATAAAAACCTATATATATCTTTATCCTTCCAGCTTTTTATTTTAGGTAAGTCAATACTTAGGACCCTCTTAAATAAGTGTAATAATTTGATGCTTTATTTTAAAAACCAAGTCTCATTATGAGGCTTAGTGAGTTTAGTTGTACCGTTGCAAGATTTGAACCCAGGACTCTGGGAATGGAAAGCAAGCATCTTAATTTCCATGCTGCACCACCATTATTTTGGTTGATTTTTACTTCTTACTGTACCATTGGTGAATCCACTATCATATGACTACAATACTGTACATGAAGAACAAAAAATATTAAATCAGTTTTCCCATATAAGTTTCATTACCAAGTGCTTTTCTTTGATTTGCCAAGCGGTTAAGGCAGGGACACCTCAACCTACAGCCATAATATCCCTATTCTGGTGGTAGAATATGTCTTTACGGATAAAGGACTATAAACCGTAGGCCCAATAGGTTCGTGCACACCAGTGCATCATTCAAAACAAGTTGCGGGATACCCCGGTGTGCTAGTCCATACAGCCCCTGTTGTGGCAGACGAAAGTAGCTGGGACCGGTAGCTAAGACACAAAGAGACCCTTAAGGATACAGGAAGTTATTGAATGAGATATGTCCACGCATTGAGCGTCATGTTTGGCAGATACCGGCGTTACACAAATAACCACTACTATTATTATTATTAGCCTATGTTTCATTCCCAGGTGCTTTTCTTATTCCATACTTTCTTATGCTGTTTTTCACCGGAGTGCCACTTCTTCTGTTGGAGCTTGCCGTTGGTCAGTACACCAGGAATGGACCGGTAAAAGCTATAAAGATGTTAGCCCCTATACTACAAGGTATGGATAGGTAGACTTTATTATTTTATTGTTGTTGTATTGTTATAATTACTAATATTTATATTGTGTTAAACTTGAATAGTGCTTCATAATAATAATAATAATATTAATTGTAGGTTTTATATAGTGCATAATACAAGAAAGTTGCCTAATGTGCTTTACAATTACATGAGCAAAAAGAAAAATGACCCATGTAGCATCCTAATGCTACAAAGAAAACTAATATAGAAAACGGCATAAAAAGCAGAAGCATCATATTCACTGCTCCGTTCTCCAGCACTATGAAGCTCTAAAAGTTAGGGGCTAATTATTGTTGTTTTTTGCTGATGGTGTTTTGGTAAGGAGTGGGCATCTCATAGAGCTTAGTGAAGTATATGATACCAAACCCTTATTCTATTCTGTGCCTTTTTTTCAGATACTTACAGTATTATTAGTGGAACAGTTAAAACAATGTTTACCTCAGTGGTTTACATTTAATATGGGACTTGATGATGAAATAATCCCTACACATAAAAAATGTTTCCAATTTTTTTTGATAGTTCTTTTAAATGTATAGTTCTATATTTGTATTTTCATTTTTCAGGAACTGGTTTTGCTACAGTAGCCATTACATTCCTCTTAACCACCTATTACAATGTTATCATGGCATGGGCCCTGTTCTATCTAGTAGCATCCTTTAGTTCAGAGCTTCCATGGGACTCATGTGAAAATGAATGGAATACAGAAAAATGCTTTTCCTTATCGGATTATAAAATGTTGAACGACACAACTGAAAAGCCTAGTGACACAGTATCGTCAACTGAGGAGTATTTTAAGTAAGTCAACTTTATCATTCCATGTATAGTGGTATATGTTGTTTCCTACTGTATGTTTTTGTTGCAAGCTAGTCAATTAAAGAATTTATATTTTTAATATAAGTTCGACAATAAAGATATATATAGATATAATCAAAGAAAAGTAAATACAGTGTTTGATTTAAAGGGCATGATGGTACATCGTAGAGCATAGCTCTCAACGAATGTTGTCCTGTGTATAAATATATTGTGTAATAAAATTCCTCCAACAGGATTCGAACCTGCGATCTCTCACTGTCAAGGAGAACGTCATAACCATTATACCACAGAGGCTTCATGATTGAACAGGATTTCTCTGATAAAGTGTTTCTAAGTCCATTCATGGTATTTGTTTTCTATATATATATATATATATATCTTTTTAAGTCACCGTGTACTGAAATTAACTGGAGGGATTGAAGACTTCGGTGAAGTTCAGTGGGAGGTATTTGGCTTCCTGGTGTTGGCTTGGATTATGGTGTATTTCTGCCTCTGCAAAGGATTGAAAACATCTGGAAAGGTAACACACTTTATATATTATTTTTATTTTATCTTTTTAGTTTAAAAAAAAAATCTATATAGTCTTTATAAAACATACAATAAATTTATTATATCTGTTAAAACCCGTAAACTGTGTCATTATACCGCCTCTCTGAGGGAGCGGTGAAGGGTATTGCAGTAGTCCCATCTGTGTGTTCTGCCTGGTGTGTTCTTCAGGGTGCATAACTCAAGAACTACTGGAGCGATTAACCTCAAAATTTCACAAATTTACAATGTTACATTTTTTCTAGGCCGAGCTGACTCGAGTGGATCGACTGTGAGCCGTTATTTTTTCAGTACACATACATGGCACAGCATGGCAAGGGTTGTAATCTGAGGTTATTTTGTTGTGCATTGCAAACTGTCTTTATTCCATCTTTACAATATGCTTGCAGTAATGTCATAGAGTATATTTATAATTTTGTTGATATTTATTCAATGCAGGTTGTGTATCTAACTGTCACATTTCCTTACCTGGTTCTGGCAATTCTGGTTGGCGTTGGTGCCTCATTGGAAGGGGCTAGCGAAGGTCTATATTTCTTCATCAAACCAAAGTGGGAACTGTTGAAGAACGCTGATGTTAGTATACAAAATTTTATTATTTCTCTTGGATTTCAAATTCTTAGGCTGGTGCACACTATGTAGGTCAACTGACTGTTGATTGAAGAACTCTTGCATGCTCTGTGGGAGTACCTTCTCCTTCAGAGAAATTCTGCTGAATGTCATGAGAATTGCTGGAACGTCAGTCTCACAGAATCATGCAGGATACTAATGCAGTGTGTGTATGCTTCACATAGTGGTCACAGTTGCTTATCCTTACTAAAATGCCATCCCAATGGCATTGACTAAGTTTGTGAAAGAATGTGATTCAGCACTGGTCTATGGCATCTATGATGTGTGGTGACATATGACGCTGCCAGTTGCTTGTGTAATACAAAGTCCGCTGACCACCGGTGGCAGTCTGAATGAATTGCGCGAGAGTGCAAAGCCGTGGTCAAATTATTACACCTCAGGCGAGAGTTTTTTTATACCTTGTTTAGCAAAACCGCCGACTGCAAATATTGATCATTTCTAATAAAAATTTATTTTTTGGCAATTAGCGCACCCGCTGCCACAAGAAAGTGGAAATTTGGGAAAAAAATAAAAGTTTTTCTTTATTTTTATTACACCCTCTGCAGCCTTGAAATTTCCGAAGATAAGATATGTATACTTCTTCCGAATTATATAAAATAGAAGCATTTAACCATCCTATTTTACATTCACCAATTATATTTTATTTTTATTTTTTCCTCTATCTGGATGTTCTTGGCAAAAGTATTTGCTAAATAAAAAAACAAAATTTTATTTTTATTTTTATTCCACTCTCCATTGATGATCTTTAAAAAAGTCAGTACGCGAAACAAGGAATAAATAAAGTCTTGCCTCAACATACCAGACCATACTATTCTTAATGTATATCATGTTAAAGTAAATAAAAAATATTTAAACAATGTGATATACAGTACAGTAGTTGGTGGGAGATGTAATTTTATTGAGACATATCCTGAATGCAATGGTGTAGTGTCACATATGTGTAACCAGTGTCTTTGTTTTCACTGCTAAGCAGAGAAGTTATGAATGAAATTTGCATATCTATGTTTATGTATTGTTCACTTAATTTGTAATTTAAAAATTTATTACTGCCATTTCCATTTGATTTCTTATTATTTTCACTTTTTTGTTTTTTATTTTTTCTTGGGCCTTTTTAATTTTTTTAAGGGACCACATTGGAAATAAGTTGTTTTTATTTTAAATGGCTTCTATGTGTTATCCCTGGTATCTTTACCTGATCTTTATTTAATTAATTAATTTATTTTCATTTTATTTTTTCTCCCATATTTTCTGTCTCTTTCATGTTTGCTTCCTAATGTTTATAATGGATTTTATCTTGTATGTATTTTTATGATGATGCCAAATAAAAGAAAGAAAAAATATAAATACAAGCTTATGAATTCTTTGTTGTTTTCTATTAAAGGTTTGGGTGGCAGCTGCAGCCCAGAACTTCAATTCTATTGGCATCGCTTTTGGCTCGATGATTGCATTCTCGAGTTACAATGAGTTTCACAGCAGAACTCTTGTTAGGTAAATACAAAACACTCAGCTTATACTGGAATACACATAAAGAAAGTTATGTGCTCTAGTCTAGTAGAATATAATACTACAGAAAAACTTACCTAAGTCAACTTTGCCTAACTCAAAATAATTTCTAAGTCGTCTTATTTACATGCCAAATAGTTGTGTTTTCCTTTAATTAATGATCTGTAAGTCAAATTTTATCTAAGTTGAACAATTTTTGAATGTCATTTTGGATTTGACTTAGGCCAGAACAATTTTTGAATGTCATTTTGGATTTGACTTAGGCCAGCTCAACTATAATAGATATAGAACAAAGTTTAAAAAAGTGTGATGAATCAATTTGGAAAGTAAAAGTCAGATTAAACAATATTAATGACCACCAACCTATCAATGTTACATGGTTTTAGTCCTAGCTGGAGCTGACCATTTGGGAATCTTACATCCATAGTCTTGGGTAATACTAACTGCCTAGTCATTTACTAAATATTTATTATTTTAGGAAACTTAAAATTGAAATACATATTTCTGTATGATGTATTTAATATTGGTTTGTTTTACATGAAGTTGTTTGTGATTCCAAATTCAAATTCAAAAATAACATTTATTTCATTAAAAAATTGTAAATTGCAATCGTCTTTAAAATGTAACAAACAAGTAGATAAGTATTGAATTGGGCACAATTCCTAAAAGCAGAGCATGTGATGGATGTGTCTAAAACATATAATAATAAATTAAAAGATTACAATCATACCAGTGCTTAAGTAAGGAATGCACAGGTAGTTTGGTGGTTTATCATTCATTTTTCGTGACTAAACCGTAGTTCTGCAACTTAGTTCTTTTACAGCATAATTGCTAGGTACATTATGTAATTTCAACCCATCAAATATCTTGTTCCAGGCTGAATGGTACAAAGGTACGTCATACTATAAGGTTTATTGACAAGAAATAATCATTGTTCACCAGATCGACCCAGTTATTCCTTGATTTTTTTAAAAAGTATTTTGAATATTTTATAAAACTTATTTGTGTACTTTTTTGTACTAAAGAGGTTCACTCAATTGGTATCCTAAAAGCTCATGAAAAATCAGGCTAAGCCTTCATATGTTTCTATTATATATGATATATATGATTATGTTCTAATGCTATAAAATATGATGTTTTATTTTTTTAACAAAATCTGTTTACTTTATCAAACATCATAAAAGCATGCATTTTTTTAACGCTTTATTCATTTAAAACATGGAAATTTCAAACTTCCTACAGTGCATGTTTTTCATCCAGATTACCATTTTGTCTTTAAATAATTCTCCTTTAGTATAGATTTTACTGATCTCACCTTAGAGTGCACCAGTGTTTTTTATCTGTTTATCTTTATGGTTAGTGTAAATAAATACCATTTTTTTAAGGTTTATATTGCAGGCTAAATATGTATATATAAGTTGAAACTCTTTTTATTGTAAAATATAGTTAAATATACAATCTCAATTGTAGGGTTCCAAGTTGGTAGAAGCCACCTTTGTGAGATCTGGTTAAATGAGATTTTTAAACACATTCAATTAAGCGGTTTGGCGCAGCGGGAACGGTTTGGTTTCCCAACCTCGAGGTCGGGGTTTCAATCTCTCGCTGTGCATTTCACTTGTGTCCTTGAGCAAGACACTTTATCTGCATTGCTTCTCTTCACCCAGGGGTATAAATGGGAACCTGGTGGGGTTACCTGCTCCTGCGCTGATTACCAGCAGCAACACTTAGCATGTGGACCCAATGACCTGGAAAAAGAACTTCAGCGTTTCGTAACTGAAAAGAAAGGCGCTATACAAATAACAAGTAACAAGTAATTATAATTTTGCCAGCCAACTTGAGGAAAACAGTTGATAATACAGAAATAAAGATATGGACATTTTATTTAGGAGATTTTTGCTTGCTAGTTGCAGTGCAGGAGTCCATCTGTCTGACCCCATGTTGTTGCTGCTAATGTTGTTTTATATTTTGATTGCTTGCATCTTAATTAATTCATTTTTCTGTGCTTTTATAAAATTGCATCATGCTCGATTGATTTCAGGAGTTAACTATTCACAACGTTGCATGCCTCCCAAGATTGCCATGCATATTCATGAAAGTGATTATCTCAACATTTTTTTTAAAATTTAGTATATTTAAATTAAAAGTATTTATTCAATCTGATTTGTAAGAATCAACTGCTTATCATCAGAATGTAGTTGGTTTTCTCATGAATTGATGTCATAATACACCATTTTATTGGGTCTATTTTAAAACAGCGCCACCAATGTATCGCAACTTTTCACTGGAGGGGATCCAGCCAGAGCAATGCAGCAAATTTCTTTTTTCCAGACATCTTTTCAGGTTGTGCACTGGCGGTCACTATGTAGACGGAAATTCTAGGCCTCTGGCTGTCCCACAGTGGTAGTTGCCAGGTTCTCTGAAATTTTCATTTCAAATTGAGCGAAAGTGGTGTATAAAAGCAATCAGTGATCCAAGTCATGTGACATAGTTGGGACATTATTGTAAGCAGCGAGTAATGCTGAGTATAGAAAAATTTGTGGCTCGTTCTGTTGTAAGGCATAAATTGGTTGGAAATTGAACTTGGGTACAAAGGTCAGAATGGTTAAATGCTCCATAAGATACTGGTCCCAAATATTGAAATTATTCAATAAGAGACCTCTATATATCTACAGCTATATTAGGCACTTCAAGAGATCCATGTACTGTATTTATTTGAATAAATGCCCTGGGTCGTTTCTTTTGTTTAGTAGTGTTTCAAGTGTTTATTCGAGGGAGGTGTATACTCAAATAAACGCCCCGTAGTTTCACTGTAAATGTGGAACGACAACACATAATTACAGGTACTGTCAAAATGTGTTCTTGCATGTTCCCCCTCTAGAGGGGACTTTATTCAAGGGGTGGGCGTTTATTCTAAGTGGTGTGTATATGGTAAGTGAGTGGGACACCCTTAGATTTTTAGGCTGGCTTATTATGGATTATGTAAATCGAAAGCATTTCCTGCTCCCATACTTTTTCACAATTGCAGTATAAGTATGTTACTCCAACTATATGTCACATGACCACTGCTAGTCACACGAGGGCTATGTGATATCTGCTAACACAAATGATGTAAGCAGATAGCTGTTTGCAATATATATACTGTCTCTTATACACATCTAGATGTGTATAAGAGACAGATCTCTCGCTGTGCATTTCACTTGTGTCCTTGAGCAAGACACTTTATCTGCATTGCTTCTCTTCACCCAGGAGTATAAA